CGACCTGCTGGGCTCCGGCGATCCTTCCGCCTCAGCCTTCCAAGTAGCTGGAACTACACATGCGATACCACGCCCGGCTAATTTTTGATTTATTGTAGAGATGAGGTCTCGCCAAGTTGCCCAGGCAGGTTTCGAACCCATGGACTCAGGCAATCCACTCACCTCAGCCTCCCAAAGCGTGGGATTATAGACTGAGCCACCGAGCCCGGTACTCACATGATCACACAGCTTTGTAAATGGCAGAGCCAGGATTCAATCCCAGGCAATCTGCCATCAGAGTTCACATCTTAACCACCAAGCAAACTGTCTACATTGATGAAGTTTCAAGGAAGGCTGGGCTGGCTTCCATAATGAGTAAGAGAGGGGGCCTTGGTCTGTGACCTGAGGAAGAAGAAGGGCAAGGGCAAGTGGGTTTATAATTATTGTGGCTAGAAGTTGATGAGGGAAAGGTCATGTTCTAAGACTGAGGATGACAAAAGCAGAGGCCTTCAGGGCATGGTGACTCACACATGTAATCACAGAACTTTAGGAAGCTAAGGGTGGGGGGGAATCGCTTGAGATCAAGATTAGCCTGGGCAATATAGCAAGACCCTGTCTCTTCCAAAAATTAAAAAATTAGCCAGGCGTGGTGGCGCCTGTAGTCTTAGCTACTTGGGAAGCCGAGGTGGGAGGTTTGCTTGAGCCCAGGAGGTCAAGGCTGCAGTGAGCCTTGATTGTGTCACTGTACTTTCTGCTGAATAACAGAGAGAGATCGTGCTTCAAAACAAAACAAAACAAAAGTAGAGGCTAGAGTGGGGATAGGAGAAGTGAAGCCTGTGAGGGTCCTGCGGGCCCCACAGTCTCCTGCAGGAACAGAAAGAAGACAGAGGCTGGGATCGGTGCTTACTTGGGGCAGAATAAGAGGTTAAGGGAGAGGGAGCTGAGCTGAGGTGTGAAGGGAAAAGGAGCAGGTCCAAAGTCCCACAACAAATCAGGGCAAGGCCAGGCAAAGCCACTGACTCTCCCAGTCTCCTACAAGAAAGGAGATGAACCCAGGGTTAGCACTTCTTACATCCCCAGGGAATCTAGCTCTTCCTTCACCTGTATTGATTGTCCACATGACTTTCTCTTTCATCTCAAGAAGAATTAAGTCTAGGTCACATTCATCTATGTCCCTGGTGCCCAGTACATATGGAGTTGCTAGTGGACATTTCCTGAATGAATGAGTGCAGAATAACAAGAGCTAAATGTTCTGGGCTTTGGATCTTGGCGATCATGGATTTGAACTCCTGCCCGCCTCTAATTGTGTGACTCTACATCACTGAGCCTCAGTTTCCTTATGTCAATCCTCATTATTCACAGATATCACATCTGTGAATTTGCTTACTGACTAAAGTTGATTTGTAACCCCAAAACCAACACTTGTGGCACTTTTGCAGTTATTCACAGACATGAGCAGAGAGTAAAAAATTTGAGCCGAAACCAGGCGCAGTGGCTCACGCCTATAATCCCAGCACTTTGGGAGACTGAGGTGAGAGGATTGCCTGAGCCCACAGATTTGAGATCAGCCTGGGCAACTTGGCGAGACCTCATCTCTACAATAAATAAAAAATAAAATAAATAAAATGAAAGATATGCAAAATTTCAAAAAAAAATTGAACCATCCCACACACATTTCTGGTTGAGGTCTGTTGAACAATGGGACTTTCTACTTTCTTGTTTTAGCTCTTATAGAGTAAACAAATGTTCTTTTGGTGGTCTGTTTCTGGTGCCACGTATTCTCATATTTTGTGTGGGTGGGTGATTCTGCTGTCTCAATTGGCCCCCAATTGTAGTGTTGAAGTGCTGTCTGGGTGTTCCTAAGTGCAGGAAGGCGGTGATGTGCCTTGCAGAGGAAACGTGTGTTAGGTAAGTTTCATTTGGGCATGAATTACAGAGCTGTTGGCCACGAGTTCAATGTTAATGACTCAACAATATGTATTAAATAAGGTGACTCTTCTCATAAAATTAGGTTACATATTGATCAGTTGATAAAACTATTGTGACTAAAGGCTTACAGAAACCTAAACCCTGTATTTCCCCTAGGAGCTGTGGTTCAGTATTTAGTGTTTGTGGTGACTTTATAGAACATAATTATTGGGAATCATGAGAGTTGACGGTATATCAATAGGGAGAATCTCTTGGTAGGGTTGTTGTGAGATTAAATGAGATAATGTTGATAAAGTGCTTAGCACAGTATCTGGCAGTGCTCAGTAAACATCATTAACATTGTTAATATGATGAGGGAGTGAGTTTCCCCTACTCTGAGTTCCTTTGCCCAGGGAGCCAAGCTGAGGTAGTCTGGCTCTTGGACTGGACCCAATGGAGAAGGTTGTGAGGGAGCCTGATCCCTGAGGAGGGGCTGGGGCCAGAGTACTGCCCTTATACAGACTTCATATGTTATAGAGGCCTCAGCTACTCTGGCCAGTAGTATCCCTCAGGCACACTAGAAGCTCCCTGTGCCATGGGGTCCTCACAGCTTGTTCGTGCCCCTCGGCCCCGGGGTCTACGGTCCCCCTACCACAGGCCAAGTGTGGGGTGGCCCAGGCCCCGGTTTCCCAAGATGTTCAAGTGTAGCCGCAGAAGATACCGGCAAAAACTCCAATGCCTAACTGCCACCAGGGCAGCCACCGAACTTGTTACCATGGCTATGGATATCAACAACACCCATACTGCCACCACCAGCCTGTGGATC